TCCCTGCTCACACTGAGGATGTCACGGGGCAGCTCCTCATCCTCACTCCCTGGAAATAACCCTGGCACTGCCAGGGACCCCTCATTGTCACGCCTGGGCTGGGCATGGATGGTTATTCCATCAGGATAACATTGGAATATTCATAAGTGGCCTTTTCTACATTAAATTAACATATTTACAGGAGGTAGATTGAATTGCAGCAGGAGCAGCAAAATAAAACTAAGTTATGAAGCTGAATTGCATTTAAATGCCACGAAGCATTTGGAGAACGTCATAATGCAATGACAGCATGAACAGAGTTCACATAAAAGCTTAGCTACAAACTCCATCCCTACTGATTTAGCTCCACAGACTGTTTTCAGCTGCAGCAATCCTGGAGTTGTGCTGTACAGCATTTCCTGGGATGCTGTAGGACGCATCTCTCCACCTAAACACGACAGCACAGCACCACCACAAACACCACGAGGCTGATCACACTCCTCTTCCCCCACTGCAGGTTTCCGTGCCAATTCCCAAATGTGCGAGTCATCAAGCTTTTAATCATGAAGGGCTTGCTTTTAAAAGAACATTTTAATTTTGGCCTTCTGATGATAAGTTGTAATGGAGACTGATTAGCTGAGAAGTTTCATTTAGTGCTGCTATATTTTTGCTAATGCTGCTCAATCAGAGCCAGCACAAAAGCCCCCAGGCATTATCCGATCAAACCACCACTTCTCAGCTACTGCAATTATTCCCAACAATGGAGACGCTGGTATTTATTGGAGAATCCCACGAAAACAAACTCTGAGGGTACTAATCCAGGGCAATTCATAGCTGGAGCCATTTCCTCCCTCTCCCAGGAATGGAGTGCCACGCTCCTTATGGATTTAACACTGCTCATGTGTTTCTCCTCCCTGACAGCAAGACGGATCTGAGCTCTCGGGGGTGTGTGCACCATGCAAGATGCATGAGCAATACACTGCAAATATCTGAAAGTCACAACAAGACAAACATTTTCCTCCCCAGGCGCCTATTGGAGAAAATCCCCTGCAAAAACTCTCCAAATGGAAACACCTTCGACCCTTCTGCTTCTGCCGTGTGGTGATTAATTCTCACTGTGATTACTCCTCTCCTGCTGGCCATCACCCCGTGGCAGTGTCCCATTGCCATCTCCCCGCTTCTGCCTGCTGGGAAACCTTGGATCCCTCCACCACGGACGGGAGCAACCTGCAGCTGCTCTCCATCCCACCCACTTGCGGTCCTCGGAGCCTCCCGGGGCATTCCACCCGGGAATTCTGCGTTATCCCTCTCCTTTCCTGTGCGGGAATGCAGGGAAGGAGTGGTTGGAGGTTTGGAAATCAAGACTTTTCTGACCTGGCTCGAGGTCCTCCTGCGGGCAGCACAGCCTCGAGCAGCTGGTACAGCCCTGACACTTTTCCCTGGGCTAAAAACGCGGGACAGATCCCTGATTGTAGAAAATTCCTGAGTTCCACCTGGGGGAAGGAACTGCAGCCGCGTGGACTGACAGGTTCTACGGAGAAATCCACCAGGAATTCAGATCCTGAAGTCACTGCCAGGGGATGAGGACCCACCTGCCCCTGGGCTGGGCACAGGGTTTGGACTCAGGGTTTGGACTCTGCCTCCACCTGCCCGGGCACTCCTGGCCATCACCTAAGGGCTCCAGCACAAGATTTTCACCATTTATGCACGGATGATGGATCCAGACACACAGAAAGACCGAGAGCTGAAGCATATTAATTAGTTCTAACTAAGATGACAATGTTCTGTGGGTTCAGCACGGCCCTTTCTGCACTGAAGGAGCACTAGAATCTCTTTCAAGAACAACATAATGGAGTTAATTGAAAAAGAGAAGTAATTTCAAGTCTAAGCCCTCCCATGCTATTTTTTATTCTCCTTGCAATTTTCAAGTATCATTTTCCTGCTTCTCCTCCTGTCCTCCTGCGTGTGAGACAATCTATAAAGGTGATGAATTTACTACAGGTGCCATCGAGTTGTATCAAACAGCACAGCAAGGGAACTGGAGAGCAAAGAAAAATGGATGTTTTTCCAAGTCTTTACACAACACATATTTTGGGTTTTGCTTGAACACCAGAAGGAGAAAAAATTCAGGTCAGGTGCTGCTGCATCCTGGTGTCACCCTGGTGACAGCACACTGAACCTGCAGCTCTGCAGGTGGTGGTGGTTTAGGAGCCCCAGGGTTGGATTCCAGGGAATCTGGCACACATGGGGAGCACAGGAGCTGCTGGGGCTCCTAAACCATGGCCATCCAAC